AAGTCCAAATATCAAATTTATTACGTTGTTGCCCTTTCTGAAATTTCTCCGACAGCGGAATCAATTTCATCGCGTCCTGTCAAAAATACGAGAATATCTCCTGGAGTTTGCTAATATAGCAACAAATAGTTTGGTATAAAAGAAGTTTTATAATCATGTTATAATCTCGTCATTCATGATGGACGCGTTAACAAACCTGAACATGAATATCAAAAACTGTCTGTATCGAAGCTTCCACATACTCAGAACACGGAGTACTCAAATAATGTATATCGACCGGAAACATTTTGCCTTCCAAAGATATTATAGATACATTGTCTTTTGTCGAATCATTTGTTATATTTGTATTAAAAAATTCATAAAATGCCTCCGCATCCAATGTGGCTGAGGAAACGATGAGTCTTAACTCTGGTCGCTTTTTTTGGATTCTAAATATCAACGTCAAAAAAAAAAAAAAAAATAATGTTAAAAAAAAAAAAAAAAAGTTTAAGATACATTCGGAATAAAGCAAAATATGCAAACTTTTTCAGAATTCCCAGTAATAAATCAGTGTAAAGACTTCTTTCATGAGCTTCATCAATCATAATAACACTATATTGTGATAATAATGGATCGCCAAATGTCTCACGAAATAACATGCCATCAGTCATGTATTTGATACGCGTTTTAGTTGGACTGTAGCAATCTTCGAACCGAATACTATAACCGACCTTGAAAAAATTCAGTAATTTAGATATAATATCAGACTACGTATAAATAGCTTTTAACTTACATCTTCACCAAGCTTCACGTTCATTTCTGTGGCTACGCGATCAGCAACTGTCGTAGCTGCAACGCGACGAGGCTAAAGTTCCCAAAAATGATGTATCAAGAACACCCTCAAAGAATTATCAAAAATCACAAACGTTTGATGGTTACCTGTGTGCATGCTACGACAAAACCATTAGCGGTCCAACCTGCTTCATTAAGATATTGTGGCAATTCTAAAGAAAAAGCATGAAATTAACATCAAAGACGATCAAATTTTATAACGCCATGAATTAAACACGCACGTGTGGTTTTCCCACAACCAGTATGTCCTACAATAATGGTTGTCTGGTACTTTTCAATAAGATACAGTATCTGATCACCTTTAAAATAAAAGTTAAATAAAAAAAAGGGACTAAAATTATAAAATTATAAAAGACGAAAGTTAAAATTACGTGATTTATAAATCGGTAATCTTTTTCTTTGCTGTTGAATAGACAACGAAGTACCCCGGTCTACAAATGTCACGAGAGCTTCATTTGTTTCCTTTTCCGTTTCACGATCAAGATTCGTTCCTATACACGTGGAAGTGTGCGCAAAAGTTATAAAAAGCGGTTATTGTTTTTCGAAATATGCAAGCTTTTAGACTTTTACCTGGTGCAATGGTCCCCGGTTTCCAAAAAGCCATAGCGATAGAGATAGTGGTAAATAAAAAGAAATCATTTTTAATAAATACTTTGTGGACATAAGTCTTATCTGATTGGCTTAATGATTAAATTTCTCACGATCGCGCGATTGCCTAGCTGCCATTGGACATAGCTGCCTAGGGTGTCAAATGCATATCTAATTACAAACATAGCGCAGGTGCATAGTGAAAATCATGTATCGAATTTTTTTATAA